CTGATTAACTAAGAAACCACTTATAAATAATGGCTTTCCAAAGGGGCTCCTACTTGAAGAGATATATGTTGTTATTTGAATGACTATGAGTTTAATCTTACCCTTAATCTCATTTTTTATATCCACAGCTATCCTGGTTTCAGCTGCGACAGCATGAATTTTCTTTCTAGTAGCTGGTACAGTGCTGTGTTTTGGATTTACTGTGAGAATAGTGTTGATAACACACTGATGTTGTTGCTAAGTAGCGCTTTTCCAAAGTCAAGGATATTTCAGTTTCCCATGCTCTGCCAGTGAGCAGGTGCACAAGAAGCTGTGAGGGAACATACCCAGGACAGCTGACCCGAACTAGCCAAAGGGATATTCCATACCATAGGGTGTCATGCTCAGTGTATAAACTGGGGGGAGTTGCCTAGGGGGTGGATCACTGCTCAGGCATCAGTCAGCAGGTGGTAATCAATTGCATTGTGCATCACTTGTCTCTTCTTGGGTTTTATTTATCACTTTTTCTCATCTTCCTTTTCATTAAAATGATTATTATTTATTGTTGTTAGTATTATTATTATTATTATTTTATTCTATTTTAGTTATAAAACTATTCTTATCTCAACCCACGAGTTCTACTTTTTTTTCAAGTGTCTCCCCCATCCCACTGGGAGAGGGGAAGAATGAGCGAGCGGCTGCATGGTGCTTCATTGCTGGCTCAGGTTAAACCATGACAAATAACATACATACATATAATAGAAAATTACATATACATATATATATATCTCCATATATACACACGCACAGTATACATACACAGCTTTTCTTACTCTCCACAGGCTAGCTAACCCAGTGCTGGCAGACAGCCTCCTCTGGGATACAATGCAACAGCAATTTGGTGTAGTGCTCTCACTCAGGGGCAGATGGAGGATTTTGCCTAGAAACACATCACTGCTGTCACTTGTTACAACATGGTTCTCAAAAACATAATCCTAATCTAATTGGTCAACCAGGAACCTGGCGGGACTGCTCATGTTAATCATCGCCTCACTTAGCACAGGAGGTTTCTTGTTTCCTGCAGAACTGAAATGACAGGTGTAACCCCTCCAGCCCTTCATAGTGCCCTGGAGTATCAGCCGCTTCAGGCGTGGGGGCAGAAGTCGTACTTAAGCTTTTTTCTGGACGGAAAATGAAACCAGTATTTCTATCACTACAGCTCTCCATCAGGTTCCCCATCAACCTTCAAGCAAAGCTGCCAGAAAATGAGGAATCATTTGCTTCACTTGGTAGTTTGTCCTGGTTTTAAAACTTGTGTTTCATTTTGAATATGAATGTGTTTGGCTTTGGATTCCTGCTATTAGTTCCTTCCTTGTGCCTGAGCTGATCAAAGTGAGCCTTTTCTTGCTCTCTGCCCTATTTTTAAACTGCATGCCAAACTCCCATATCAGTTTTATCAATGGTGTACACTGAGATAAAGTCATCTCTTTGTTACTTCCTTATTTCATATCCAGGAATTAACTCAGCCCTTTTGCTGCAGTCACATACTGAGATACTTGTTAGGTTTTGACTCTCATATGTTTTACATTGCCTAAGAGTTATCACTTTTATATCCTTTACAATGTTCCTACTTTTCAGGAGATAGCTTTTCATACAGTTCTTGCTGGCTGCCTTATTCTTGTCACTGTTTATCACACTGACAGTGCCACATCACTTCAAGCTTGATTAGCACTGATTTTGTATTTACTTTCCAGGCCATTTAGGAAACCCAAGAAGCCCCAAAGGAAATGTAAATTTTCAAAGATGATTGTCTCACCAACAGCTACTTTGAACTGCTCATCCATTTCTTGACACACTGAATCTGTGCTTTATTGCATTATGATTTTTTTCTGATCATTAACATGCGTTGCTAAATAAAGCACTTAAAAAAATTAGTACAGCCATGACATTATCTTCTAACAGCCAAGCCTGTAATCTCATCTCAGGTTTCTCTGATGAGACCTACTTTTCCATTAGACTTTGTTGACTGGCACACATAATATTTGAATGCTTCATTTAATTGTTAGCTGTTCTTTTGTTTCATTGCTTTTCTTTATGTCACCGTCTGCTCCTCCCCACAGCTGAAGGTATGAATGCCATGGTGAAGATGGGTGTATCAAGGCCTATGTGTGTACAGAAGGCCATACAAGCCTATGCACAACAGGCAATTACCATTACCAAAGCCAGTGTGCGAACGGGCTGGTTGCTGTTATACAGATGATGATCTGGAGGAAGTTAAGTAAGCTTCCCACGATCCAAAGCAGACTGGTTTTGCTCAGAGAAGCTCATTCCTTTCCTCACCCATGCAATTATCACTGCTTAACTGCAGCCCAGTAGCACTGAAATGGGTGGGCTTTCCCATGACCCTGAGAAACCCACGCTTCCTTTCCATGTTCCAGCTATAGAACCTCTTGGAAAATTTTTTGGCTGGTCAGTAAGTACAAAACCTTTCTTTTATTACTACTGCTGTGACTGACCTGCAGTTAGCACATCGCAAGATCTCACTGGAGATCAGCTTGCACATCACTCTCATGCAGAGAAGAGTCTGAAGGAACCAACGGTGCCGCTGACTTCCTCATCTTCTCCTGCACCATGGAGCAGCAAGTTACTCTGGAGGAAAGTTACATTCTTTATACACCCCAGGAAGTAAATGCAGACCTGCTTCTGTATTTGAAACCATTGGTATGATTGTTTAAACAAGGTTTGCCAAGGACTGTTATTAGTCTAAGTAGTTTATGATTGCAGGAGTTTTTACTTCTTTAATTTTGACATACTCTTATCAGTTCTGCCTTCCTCTGGAACTTCCCTTGTCTGCTAGCATGTGTTTAAAATAAGCACTTCTGCTTTTTAAAATGTTTTTATTCTTATTCATAGCATATATCTAGTAAATAGACTTTTTGATGAGGGAGGTATTGGCTTTTGTAACTTTGACACTTTAAAACCTATTAACTTTATAAGTAGTGGGTTTACCCCCTGCTGCTTGGCTGCTCTGCTTGTATTCTGCCTGTCATTATCTTAAATGACTACTCATTACTTTCTACTTCCCCCTCTTCCCTCTCTGTTTTTAAACTTAATTTCTGTTCCTACTCATCCAAGGTAGGGCATTTAGCAAAAGTTACCTCTTTACCTTTTTTTTTTTATATTACAGAATTGTGACTTTGCTAGGTACAAGTTCTTCATAGAGGAGTCCCAACTGTGATTTTCACTTTTCTTTGTAAGCAAGAAGTTTTCTTCCTTTGTGAAATCAGCTTGTTAGCTAGGACTGTAATCAGACCTGGAACACCTCTCCTATCAGGACAGGCTGAGAGAATTGGGGTTGTTCAGCTTGGAGAAGAGAGGGCTCCAGGGAGTCCTTATTGCAGTTTTCAATACTTAAAGGGTGCTTATAAGAAAGATGGGGAGAGACTTTTTAGTAGAGCCTGTTGTGATAGGAGAAAGGGTTATGGTTTTAAACTAAAAGAGGGTAGATTCAGATGAGATATAAGGAAGAATTTTTCTACAATGAGGGTGATGAACCACTGGAACAGGTTGCCCAGAGAGGTGATAGATGCCCCATTCCTGGAAACATTCAAGGTCAGGTCGGACAGGGCTCTGAGCAACCTGATCTAGTGAAAGGTTTCCCTGCTCATTGCAGGCTGTTGGACTAGATGACTTTTAAATGTCCCCCCAAACCAAACTATTCTATGATGCTATAATTCTGCTAACTGGTAATGTTCTCTTTTATGCCCGTATTTATGTCCCTGATTTCTAGGAAACCATCTCCAGTGCCATGATTCTTTTTAAGCATTAAGTCCAAAGCAGGACTGCCTCATGTTGTGTGTTCTACTGTTTGTTTTAAGAAATGGATGATGAGGCATTCCTGAAATTCAGCTGATAGTTCATAGCTGGTCTCCAGGTTCTCCCATACAGACTTTCTAAATGGACTGTCACAACATTTCATCTCCTTCTCAACTGTATGGGCAGAATACAGACAAATTTCTATGAAGAAATCAGACTAATTTTCTGGTTTGTTTGGTAGTCTTTTATTGATCTCCAGCAATGTCCCTTTCTTGGGTTTTACCAATTAAAATGATGCACAAAAGGTTCTCCATGTCTGAGTTGTTATTTTTGATACAAGTTACAGTGTCTTCAAAACAAGTTATAGCATCCCAAGTGTACTTTTTCACTATTTTAGCACATTAATTTTAGCACATTAATTTTATATTGCAGCTGTTCAGATTGTCCATGCAAACTTCAAAAATGTTATTCATAGCACATTTCTTCTCATTTGTGATTTTTTTTTCTCTTGCTCCTTTCTTGCTTTCAAAAGAAATACAAAACAATGTAGATGCCCTTGCAATGTATTTATTCTCTTAATACACTCTTCTGATTTCACCTTAGTTGCCAACTGGGAGGACAAATCCTCATAAACTGAACCTTCAGACCACCTTGCTGGAATGTGGAGTACTCCACAAAGCCCCAACATTGCATTTGTAGCATCTGAGGACCCAACAATTCATACTGTGTATCTTCTTCTGGGGCCTCTCCCCAGAAGAAAGGGGCTGCCACCATAGTGTTCTCTCCTGGCTCTGAGCCCCAGTAGCCAAATGTCCTGGAGTGGGGCAGTTCTCAGGGTCCCCACACAGGGCTGAAGAGTGGGATCATTGATTAACACTGAAAGGAGTTACATCATCGTCTCTTCCTCACTGCTTTGAGATTCTGTGTAGCTTCCACTGGTTGCCAATCTATTTGTTTTAATGTGTCAATGAAGAGAAATTTCTCCATCTTCCAGCCCTGGGGAATCTTCCTGTTACATGCTGCATTTCTGTCCCAAAATAAGTAGTCCAACAGATTCTGTCTTCATGGTCTTTGCTCCAAGTTTCTGAGTAACTAAAATTCACATTAAAGACCCATGGGAAATGAAATGGTGTGGGAGAACAGTAACAGTCAGTCAAACTTGGGAATAGTTGGACTGAAGTTACATCATTCTGACAAAAGGCGTTCTTGTGGATGACTACATTTGTCTACATTTTACATCTTAAATGTTTTAAATGAATATGGCACATCCGCACATCATTTTGAGTAACCTTGTCAGAGAACACAAGAATTATTATTATAGCTTAATTATTAATACAGCAAGAACTGCAGCAACTTACATGGGTGGCTTTAAAAACATACACACTAATCAGTCAAGCATATTCAAGATAATGGTCAAATTTTCCAAAACTGATGCACCTGGAGAAAAATTTTAGGTATGAGAGCAAGAACCTAAAAGAGAGAAGGGGGTGAAGCTGAGAAAAAAGTTTTATTTCCTCCTCATTCTTAGCTTAAATTATTTCTCCTCCTTTTCTTCTTTTTCTAGGGAATGGCAGAATTGCAATAAATTAATAAAACATTTAGACAACTGCTTCTTGAGTCCTTTGTTCTCCCTCTGCCCCTGATTTCCAGTGTCTCTTTCTCTGAACATACTGATGCATCTGTGCATCACTCTGTCTTACCCTCAGTTTTGCTCTTGCTTTCACCCAGCTGTTCCTTTGCTAAAGGGTTTGAGGGATGTTCATTCCAGGGAAAGCAGAAGACTGAAGAGAATATTTAGAGCCTGAACAGAGCCTTTGCTCTGAAAGTGAAAAATACGAAGAGCAGGGGGTGGAGCAGCATGCTGCTTGCTGTTCTCAGGCGCGTCCAGGATGCTGCTTGACTGTGAGGGGACCTATCAGGATCACGCGGGGATGGTATTTGGCATTGCCATATGTGCCGCGGTGTATCTGTGAAAAATATAATGCAAAGTGGTAAAGGATTCAGAACTGCTTATCCCGAGGGGAAATTACATTTACAGATAATTCCACCCCAACATGGAGATCTTAACTTTCAAAAAATAATCATATTTTCCTTCACAAGAAAAAATAACAGTTGTCCCTTGCTGGCATTGTTTCTTAAGCTAAAAAGCAGTTTCTATGTTTTACTTATTTCTCCAAATTAGAAACAAATTTCATGCTGCACAAAGCCTCCAAGGACATTGATGAACCTGTCAAGTAAAACCCCATGGTACATGGAGGCTCTCAGCAGTGAGGGAGTGGGTAAAACATGTTCAGAAAAGCCCCTCTGGGTCAAGGTTCTCTCTGAATTATTTGTTCTTTTCTCTTCAGGTTCATAGGCTTTGCTCTTCATCTTTATTATTCATCTTCAGAACCTGAATAGTCATTTTTCTTTTTGGAGCAGAGCGTGCCCTTTTACTAGATTGACGTTTCTTAACAAGTGCTTACTGAATTATAATGATTTAAGCAACCTGACATGTTGATCTCAGCCTAGATAAATATACCTACTGTGTTTTTGATGGGTAGGTTGATGTTACCTGTGATTGACTGCCATTTGGTAGAGCAGCATTCACTGTCTCTCTGTCTAGACTGGATGTCTTTATCAGTCATGTCAGAAGCACAAATACACACATTTCATTCTGAGCATCTCTCTTTATTGCCAGTACTTAGACTATATTACTAATTTCATTTTAAGTGGGGTTTTTTGTTGTGATTTTTTTCCCTGTTCTGATTTCTTGCTTTTATGGACATCTATATAGTTTCAAGGAGTCACTTGATCTTATACACTGTACATTATTTGGCTGAGATTTCGTATTCTTTCTTATCCAAGTAAATCTGATAAAATCAGAGCATTTTACTGCAACTATGATAAAGTATGCCCAGAAATATTTTCCAAGGGAAAAAATGCAAATATAAGACTGACACTGTCTGCAAAACAACTGACACCTTTATAAATTAGAGGAAACTCATAATTATCCCAGAAATCAGTTGCGTGTTGTCAACGGCATGGGAAGTGTTCATGCTGTTGTAGGTTTGACAAAGTATCTCACCTGTACAACTACTTACATGCGCTTAAGTTTATACTGGAATTAAGACATCTAATATTTTTATAAGGAGATCTAATAATGCAAGATGAAAGAACCATGATTTTCACTTTCAGAGATGACAGTCTGTGAAGTAAAATGCTTTGAGTAAAGTCTTACCAAGCATGATGAAAGGTAATGGCAATGGATACAATAGTGCAATTTGGTTTGGTATAACAACATGCAGGGTATTGTAGTTTCTTTGTGAAATAGAAAATATGTCTCAAAAGGCATTTTTCATGCAGATTTAATCAGCAACATAGTTAAAACAGAAGATCTGTAAAAGTATTTTTAGGAAGTTATGTAAAAAGGGAAAGTACACTAAATTAAATGAAAAAGAAGCATTATTTTCTCAAATATGATGCAATAAAATAAACACTTCCTATATTAAATTAACACTTAAATAACTTGATAACTATTGCAGATAGCTAAACCTGCAGATTTTCATGTCATCTGTATCAGATTACAGTGAAAGTGACACTTAAGGTAGCTCTGACAGAATTTTCTGTTCACAGATAGATCTGCCTTTTCACTTAGCACTGGTGGCTGAAGTTTTGGAAGGTACAGGACTTCTCATACAAGAAAATCAGTAATCACAGGTTCTAGATGAGAGAGAGGAAAACAGAAATGATGGAATGAATACAGTAGATACGGCAGCCTAATGTCAGTGAAAAGATGCATCTTCTGACTGCACCACAGCAGAGGATTCTTAGAGAAACAGTCTGCCAGAACTGAGCTTCAGCTGTTGTCTTATGCTTTGCTGTGGCCTCTATGAGAAAAAAAATACTCACAGTTATGCTGTCAGGTGCATTCAACACATGGACTTCACATAGGGTGTCTTTCCTGTAGCCCTTTTCAAACTTTCAGATCTCTTTCTCACTGGAAGACAGCCTATATTTCCATCACAGCATTCAGAATAATAATACACTTGACTTAAGATTGATGAAAAATCACCCATGCAGAAAGAACCATTTTGATCGGTAAGATGTAACTGTTATCATTTCTGTTCAAATGAGAACTGAAAAGTACAAATCAGGTGTATTCTTCAGTATAATCTTGTGCATTTATAATGTACATAGAACCTGCTTTTGTTGAAAACAGTAAAAAGCTAGAACAGGAAGTTTTTTTGCTAACAGTTTTCAACACAGCCTTTCACACAGCCCTGTGTCTCAGCAGATGCATTTGTTGCAAGTTACCCAGGAAAGTCTCAACCTGCTGGGCCCTGCAAACACCTTGTGCTCATGAGCATTGATTTCCACTGTCTCCGACAACCTTAATCCAAACCTGATCTAACTTCCTTTTTCTGAAAGAATAAACAACATGCCAGTTTTGCTGCCTGTACACAGAAGTCATGACTGACAGAAGCCAGCATTGCTCTCCAGCAGGACAGTATTTTTATAGTAACCTGCTGAAACCTCGTATGTGCTAATAAACTGAGTATTTATTTAAAGAAATGATACTGCTGAAGACTGTGTCTGCATTGATTTTTTTACCTTGTCCCATTTTCTTTATTTACATCTGGATAAAATAAAACAGTTTACCTTATTTACATCTGAAGAAAATAAAAACAATCCTTTTTGTATGTGAATGTAATGTTGTTCAGTAATGAGGCTTCTTGCTTCAGGAAATTTGATCTTTGTTCTCCTGGACACATTCTCTGTTCTATATAATTTCTCATACAGTCAAGCATTAATACTATCTGACAGAGAAAAAGGAAATTGCAGTATGATGCCTTTTCATAAGCATTATTTTTCTTACCACTAAATGACGACTAGAGAGAAGTTACGCTGCAGATTTTTGGATTCGCTTGTAAGTATTGCTTTTATTTAAGGAATGATACCCAGTTTTATAAGGCAGTTATCTAGTTCTTCAGTGTATGAAACACTAACAGACCCCTAAAATCAAGGAACTCAAATGAACACTTGTGCCTTTTTCATTGCCCACTCCCTCATCTCCTTTTTAAAGCATTTTATTATGGACTTTTTTTTGGAAACATTTAGAGACTCATATAACTTAGTTCACATGGACAGGACCCCTGAACATGAAACAGAACCCATGCTTGTAATATTTATAATTTGTTTGTTAGAGGTTCTGGCCTCCTGCCCACAGTAATATATTTGTTACATCAGAAAGCCTTAATATGACATTTAAAAATGAATTCATATGTGCATGTAAGTCACAGAATCATAGAGCGGTTTGGTTTGGAAGGGACCTTAAAGATCATACAGTTCCACCCCCCCTACCATGGGCAGGGACACCTTCCACTAGCCCAGGTTGCTCACAGCCCCGTCCAGCCTGGCCTTAAACTGCCTGGGAGGGGGCAGCCACAGCTTCTCTGGGCAGCCTGTGCCAGTGCCTCACCACCCTCACAGGAAAGATTTTCTTCCGAATATCTAATTTAAATCTTGCATGGGTTTCCATCTCTACCGACGGTTTATTTCTAGATATGGTAAAGCTATTTGTTACACTCGGGCCTGCAGCATCACCCCCTCAGCGCTCTGCCTCGTCGCTCCCCCCTCATTACGTGTTTTGGGACAAGCGGGTATTTTTACAAACGGCGCGGGGACAGACCTGAGGAAGAGCTCTCTCCCACCCCACGGCGAACCTCTGCAAGCGACTGCCTTCGCCCCAGCCGCCGCTCCGGCTGCCCTTTACGGGCAACGGAAAAATCCAGCTGCTGTCGGGAGGTGACTCACCCGCCTTCCCCTGGCCCCGCAGCCCGGCCTGCCCCTCCCTGAGGAGGCCGCCGCCCGCAGGGCCGCCGGCGGGCACACGCACCCACACCTAACT